CCCGCAAATGTTTCAGATTTTTGCAAATAGGCCAACCAAAAAAAAACACCCACAACTTTCAGATCTTTTTTTTTTTTATAAGCAATAACAAAACTTCAGATTTTGTAAAACGTGCCACCACATTTCTCAGGCTTTGCAAAATAAGCATGTGAAAGTTTCAGATCTTGTAAAACAAGCCACCAAATTTCTCAGGTTTTGCAAAATAAGCAAGGGAAAGTTTCAGATTTTGTAAAGCAAGCCACCACCCAAATGTTTTCAGATTTTGCAAATATACCACCCGAATATTTCAGATTTCATAAATGAGCTACCCAAAAGTTTTTCATATTTTGCAAAAAAGAACACCCAAATATTTCTGATTTCACAAATGAGCCACCCAAGAGCTTTCGTATTTTGCAAAAAGAAGACCCAAATATTTCAGATTTCACGAATGAGCCACCCAAGAGCTTTCATATTTTGCAAAAAAAATACCCAAATATTTCAGATTTCACGAATGAGCCACCCAAGAGCTTTCATATTTTGCAAAAAGAACACCCAATGCTACACATGTTCCGCATTTCATGCTTAAGAAATTAGTAGAGCAGGTACATCGAGCAGCCAAGCAAAATATAGAGTAACCATGCGAGGGGATCAAAAGACTAGCAAGATCACGGAAGAAAGGTTACCTCTTGGTATAGAGCACACAAGAAAAATAAGAATAGGTGTAGAAGGCACACAACTACTCGAATCCTTACGATTGACCAACCACTTCAACCAACATAACATCTATTTAGCTTCCATATAGTATAAGCAACCGATATCACCATTCAATCTCTTCTAGAATTTGGCCACCGTGAGCGTTGAGGCCTTGTTGTAAAAGGTATTTTAGTTCAAATTTTCTTGAAACCTAGCTTTAAAACATAAGGCAAGGGTATTAGGGCAACATGCATGTATGAACGTCACCAAAATAATTTTGTTTTCTGCAACATTTCAACACACCAAAAGATGAATCATGAACCGCCTGCACTTTTTAGTAGTGCAGAAACCAAGACCCCCAAGAACTCCGCCTCTCTACCGCAACCCCTGATATTCAATTACACCAGCTAAAATTCCCTTGAGCAACCAAACAAAGTAGAAAATAGAGTGAAATACATAAAAGGATTTCTGGGAAACAATGGAGAGAGCCATGCATAATAGCCCTATAATACACAATAAATCCATATATACTACAAACACGGTGCAGGAGAATCATTTTACAATTGTTGATACAATTAAATATGAAAAAATTGAACAGGACAACAAATCAAATTATAAAGAAAAATAAACAGGATTAATGAGAAGAATATATATATATATATATATACATATATATATATATATCAAATTTCATGCGATTTATCCATGTGCGGCGCCCAAGCAAAATAGGTGTCCTCCCTAGGTAATTTCGACATTCCGAACGCTCTGGTACAGTTTATTTTGCCGTCAGAGGTCATTTTGACGAATTCACCGATTTGCGTGCCAATTTTCTCGTGTCGAAAGTATAGCAATATGGGGGTCCTTTCCTACCAAAATGGTATCCCGGACGCGTTGGAGCAGTCCAATTTGTCGTCGGAGGTCATCCGGAAAATTTCGTATTTTCACACGTCCTTTAGGCTTAATTGAAGTCCGATTTCGTGCAATTTCGTGAATTTTGTGTATTTGATGTGTGTATGTGATGAAAAAGTCATGACGAATGTTTTCCTAAGGCTTGGAGTCCTATTGGGAACTTTTCCCCTGAGTCTTCACAAAATAGCCCATAACCGCTCTTTCGTAAGACGATGGTCTTGTGCCATAAATGCAGGACATCAAAGAAAAATAGGAAGTGGTTAGAATTTCTAAAAGGGTGAGTCTCAATTCTAGTTTGCTAGGACGGTCAATAGGAACTCCTAGAGCTAGATCCTAGGCTCCTAAGGAGGAGAAGAGAATACCTCACAAAAATGAGGTCAACAGTGTGCGCACAAACAAATGACAATGTAAGTGGCTCGTTGAAATCACATACGTCAATAGCCAAAAATAAAGATATTATTTTTTCTAAATATAAAAAAATTATAGATAATTCAAGGCACAACATTTGCACAATAGATACTTTACTCACCCCACCCCCCCTTTTTTCCCGATCTAATCAGTGCTTCTCTCTCAACCAACCTTAGTTCACTGTTATCACAGCACAATTTCAAAAACAAACCCTATAGAATGAACATAAATCCAGAATCCGCACTCCTCTCTCTTAACAAAGCAACTAATATAGGAATCCGATATTATGTGAATATGCTCTTCCTTCCTATTCAGTATACCTTTCAACCAGTGTACATACTACAAATCTTATGCTGACCAAGTGTTAAAACCTTTAATCTAATCCCTTCGACAATCTCCTCCCAAACCACTAACTTGCCTCTACCACAATTGCCACTGGCCAACAATTCTAACAATGATCGAAACTCACCAACCCCTACAGTAAAATTATCAGGCAAAGCTCCGACAAACTTATTGTAAGCAATCATACACATGCAGTGACTTCATCGAATGCTCATCACGATCCATAAGCAATCACAGACAATAGAGGTTCATTTAGGCATTACATCACCTCAATCCATAAATGAAAAAGATGCTCATTGAGATTGGAAAAAAATATCCCACATTACCACTTCAAAATCACAGACACTTGATTTTACAGTTGTTCTCAAGTTCTAATATTTGACATTATGGAACCATCCTTACTTCCACATGCTATCATTGCAGTACCCTTAGTCTACTGTCAACAACAAGTACACAAGATCAAGATGTCACCTTCTTCATTGAGATTTCCAATAGAGATCCAGTTTCTCTTCACACCATAAGGATGCCAAACATAGTGAAGCTTCCCCAAAACTGTTGAATATAACACATCGCCACTAAATGTTGCAATCTGCAACACAAAGTCCGCCAAATCCATTCATGTTCTAGACAATAAATGTACCCGCATAGACTTTAGAGCATTTTACCAAATAAACTATAGCCCACAGCACTAATAGCAATTAGAAATATTAGATTGTTCCAAAAAACCAAATTTTAGGTATTGGATATGTATATACACAATAAGTGGGTGGTATGTAAGTAAAATGTCTTTGTTACTTTTATCAATTCAATAAACAACATTTTAATTTTGTACTCTTAACTTTTAAATAGTTTGAACAATAATCTAAATCAAAATTTTGAGATGTACTATTTTATATATATTTAACTTAAAATCTTATTTTTAGCCATCCGATCAAAATCAGAAAATTGAACATAATGGAACCGGCCGGTTCTTTAAAAATCAAACAGGTTCACCGGTTCTCCAGTTTAACACCGGTTCTTACCAATTCAATCCTGATTCTATCCATAAATTATTGTAAGCTTGGACCGAACCAGCCAAATAACGGGTTCAAGGTTGAATAGGCTAAACCAGCTAGTCCTGCCAGATTTTTAAAAACATTGTACCTACCTTTTAAATAAGATGTACATCAAGAATTCAAATCAAAATAACCATCACATTGAAATCTATTAACATTCGTTCATTTCTAAAATAGTTCGCTAGCCCCTCAAAATGCAAATATCAAAATTATTATTTGAATAATAAACATAAACTGAGAAGCGGTATATATTTTGCAAACTTATCTTGTTGATCGCTGTCATTAAGTAAACAGCCCTTACTAAACCTAAAAAATCTTATATCTTCATTGTGGCCTCTCAATCAGCTTATAGCATCGATTCAAAGCAAATAAAGAATAAGGGAATTCATATATTTACCCATAGGTAAATGTGGAATCCTTACAAGCTTTATTTTTAGTTCTCTACCCTCTTTTTAACAAAGTGACTAAGTAAAAAACAAAAGAAATTGTAGCCTATCTAAGGGTATAAAACTTATCCACCAAATGGCATTTTGACAGGTTTTTATTAGATACTTCTACATAAAATCTCTTCCAACTACCAGGATCTTCTTAGTACAACGCCTCTCAGTTTTGATTAAATATAATTCAGATCCAACTTGCCTCCAAAGTGACAAAAGATCATCTTTTATAATCAGGACTTTCACCTTGTCAGAATAAATATTATTGTAAATGGTACCAGTACAAGGAAGATGCACAAAATCCTCAGGATGATCTAAAGTTTATGGATTCTCTTGAAAGTATATGCTCAACCAGATCAACGAGACTCAATGCGACTTAATTCAGAACTTGTTAAATTTTGTGGAACTTACAAAATATTAAATTGCTCAAGTGACCATATAAAGCTTCACATCTTGCTTACAATCAGAACTACTATCTCAACACAAATTCCTGGATTAAGTAAGAAACAGTAAGGTTAAAGGTGTATTAAACCCAAACCCGCCTGTTAACTCAAAATTCACAATAAATGAAATTAACACAACCTCTACAGCAGTTGGTTGTAGAAGGAAGATCTGGTTCTAGTTTCTCCCTGTTGGCAATAGCCAGTTTTCACGACCAAATTCAATAAAAGATAAATGAAAGAGGATGAAAACCTGAGAAGGAGAGGTGATGGATTAGGGAAAACGGGAATAGAAGAAAATGATTTAAATAGGCATGATTCCGCCAGTTCCTTCAAGCTTCACACCAACAGGACATCCACTCATGGAAGAGAACCTTCAGAAACAATCACTACATCCTCAAAGACTTTATATAAACTCAGATACAGGGAATGATCACTGATTAGTTTCCAAGGAATTAAATTGCAACAACAAAATGTAACTAGTTTTACTGCCAGTGGTTATAGACTCGAGGTTCCACATCACATATATTCATGAATAACGAGTGATATGTCTGCCTGCATCAAAACATTTACTCCAACTTTAATTGACAATACATACGAATAGTAAATCAGTGTACTTAAATGAACTTCTTTATTTAATGATCATTTTACTGTGCATTGCAAAGAAATCATACTAGCATACAATAAGCTTCCACGTATGATAATATTTGAGAAAAGGAAATAATGCAAAAACGTACCTGTCAACCTGTTTAAGGAAAATCTCAGCAATTTCCTTATCTTCAGTTATTATGCACTCAGTATGTGCACTGCAAAATCAAGACACCAAAAAGCGACATAATTTTCCCAAGCAGTAAGTAGATAGATTCCTCAAATGAATCCAAGTCATCGATGTAAAAAACAATCTAAAACATGTTGCATACCTTCCATAGGAATGTATATGTTCAACTGCAGAAAATACATCATCAACTACTTCAACTGCACAAGCCATCGAGCTATACTCATGATGAAATGAATTTGTTTCCGGAATTTCAAATGCAAGACTTGCTCGGCGTCCACCATAGAGAACAACACCTATAAAAAGTAATATAGAGATTATTTTGAAATGCAAACTTTCCTGGCATCATATAGGCACAAGGCAAGCAGGCATAGGTACGAGATCAAGAGACTGAATAAGCTCTACCGATCAGTATGAAATCTTAAGTAACAAAGAAGCATTTATAGAATAAGAAAATTAAAGAAGTTATATGCCTAAAAAAATTTTAAATGATTATTTTTTTAATATAAAAAAGACCATTAGGTTGGTGGACCAATGAAGTGCACAAAAATGGATTGAACCAGGCCAAACCGCAACAAAAACAAAGAGCACAAATTTGCAGCGTACAGGTTGAACATGTGTTTTCTGAATGCAAGTGATCAGGATGAATGGCCTGTACAACTTCTCCCTCCAATGAAGAAGTTGATTACGGGTACAAAATTGGGCCAGAAGTAGGGGTGTAAATGAGTTCGGCTCGTTTATATTTCAAACACAAAAAGTGTGTTGTGTTCGACTCATTTGTTTAGCGAGGACTCTTTTGTTTAGGGAGCCGAACACGAGCTGTTCACGAACAAAGATTCACTTTGACAACCCTAATCAAGTAACCATAAGATGTTACGGGTTGGGGCAAGATTTAAAAATTATTATTTATATTAAAACATCATTTAAATCTAATTTATAATTTTTATTCTATTTTTTTAATTAATACTTTTAATTCATTATAAATTTTTGTAGCCTTGTAGTCAATTAAATTTTTAAAAAATACTACTCATCATATATAAATACATATATATAAATATATATATAATTTTGATGCATAGTATTTCGAGTCAAAACGAGCCGAACACAAACAAACAAATCTTCATTCGTGTTCGACTCGTTAACTTAGCGAATGAGCCAAACACAAACTTTTTAACGAGTCGAACACGAGCTGTTCACGAACAACAAGACGTTTTGATAGCCCTAGCCAGAAGATTAATATTGGAACACCTAGTCTGGTTTTTTTAGTCATGTATAATTCATTAGCCATTTGAAATAGATACTAGAATCTATGGAATAAACTTCATGGGCTAGCCACTTGAAGCTTTAACTCTAGCAACAAATCATTTAAGAATTTGTTATGAAATTATTCTTTATAGGACTAACATTGCCAGAAACTTGATCTGGAATTACAAATTCTGCTAACCGAACACCCTTTTAGTTGATTTGTCAAACAAAAGGAGCTAATACTAAGTCATCAACAAATTTTTATCATCTGACACGAATATCAAAGCATTTTGAATAAGAAACATTCCAAATTCAAATTCAAGATCATCCAAGCCCAAATTTTACAAGTCTAAAGTCAGATTGAGCATCTCAACAAGACAAACTCAATGACATTATAAGTGATCTAATTCAAGTTCAAATCAGCCTAGATTAAACCCATGAGGTATAGTCAAAGAGTTGTGTGCATCAATTGGACAACCAAAAAATCTTAAATTTTTTGCATGCTTATATTCAATTCAAATGTCTCGATAACAAGAATCTAATGAGCCCAATATCATTCAATTTCGACGTAATTAAGGCACTTAAAGGTAGATAAAACTATCTAAAATCAATGGAATTAATGTAGACCGTCCGATAGTGTTTTGGGATACTGGCCGAATTTAACAAAACACCCCTTCAAAACTATAGATAATCACCTAATATTCACTTAAAAGAGGAAAAGAAAAGAGTGAGTTGACTACTAAAGTGTAACTCTTAAAGTCATGACGATTGTCATCGACTGCCCACCAGAGTTAATTGCTAAACACTAAATGTCGCCATGAACCACCAAAAGTTATTGTCAAGCACCAACAACTAAAGCTTTGATTGCCCTACTACGACTTTGATTGCCACTTACAATTATGGCTTTTATAGCCAACTACATGTCAAAACTCAGCCCAGGATTTGGAATTAATCAAGACGAGAATAGACGAAAAGACAATGAGAATTAAATTTTCCCATATTCATTTAATATTTAACAAACTATTAACAAATGAAAGAGCCACTAAACAGATTCAATTAAAGCAATATATTTAAATTTAACTCGTTACTAGTTGCCCGCGTTTTCTATAAACATTACCCTTTCTATCTCTCACCTTTTTAATCAATTATTTAAACATGAAAAAGTTAGTTTTAAAAAATAACACTGAGTTGAATAAGCCATTGAATATCATACTCCTAATTTACAGTAAGAAAATGTAAAACTTTTAATAAATCAATAAAAACATTTGATATTTAAAAAATATGATGTTATTCAATAAATATAACTATATTCATAGCATATCAATATAATTATATATTTGTACAACCGTCATAAGAGCATCGTCTTTATACCAATTAAAATACTTCAATATGAATATTCTTTTTTATATACGTGCACAGGTATCTTAGTGTTCTTTCACAAATATCATAAATGATGACTATATCATAGTCAATCATGCACATACAAGCATACAATAATAATATTTCATTCTCATTAGCATAACGATTAACATTCCTATACAAAATTCAATATATGCGATAATTTAAAAAAAAATTACGCATACAAGTTATTCTTACAATATGAACAAAATTTAATAAAATCATAAATCATTGTTAGCAGTATCATAACAATAACAATAAATGTATTTGGTCGAGAAGTAACAAAATATTACTATAGTAAAAGAATATGAGTATTCACCTCGATGTCGATTAAATTGTTATTTGATTTATCATGACGTCGATTAAATTGTTATTTGACTTACCTTGACGTCGATTGAAATCTTAAAATAAACATAATACTCATATTACTAAAATTTAATTTATTTCATAAATAAAAATTTAATAATTTATAATATTTTAATTAGTTATTATTTAAGCATAAAATTTTCATTATTTTATTTTATGTAATCTCGCTTAAGGTATAATATATATACAAATTATAATATATATAATATATATGTATGTATATATAATATATATATATGTAATACATACATGCTATATGTACATATATATATATATATATATATAGTATGTAGTAAATATATAATATATATAGATCTTATTATTATTAAGTTTTATTATCAAATCAATTTAGTAAACCTTACCTCAGTCGAGCCCTACACCACGCGCGCGACCCTACTACCTTCCTCACATGAGGCTCCTTCGATCGAACTTCATACACACAGCTTCGAATCTCCTCATGTGCCTGTCGCATTTTTCAGCCTACCACATTTCCGCCCTCTTCTCACAATCACCTGCACTAAAAGCCAAAGGTTTGGTCGGCTTCTATCTTCCTCTCTGTCCGGTTTGTCTTCCCCGCTTGAGGCTCGACGACGTCACGAGAGCGTCTCGACATCTTCTCTGTCTTCACATGCATGGAAGCCCTGGTTGAAGTCGCATCTCAACCTAGAAGTGCAGTCGTCGTTCGACTCTCAGGTAAGCCGTGGCATCTTCTCTCAAACTGACTAAGATGATTTTATAAGCAAATTCATCTCTTTGAATTCTGACACCCTTGTTTCCTCTCCACCCTCTTCAGTTTCCATCTCCTCGTTTCTTCTCCCCCTCTATAACTGTCTAACTCATTGCTTCTTCTCCCACTCTGTTCGACACTTTTAATTCCTCTCCCGAGTAATAAAATAGGACGTTGCACTACAAATGTTATAAGCCAAAAATATGGCTTTGTTATTTGTATTAAGGTTGTCATGCCCATCAACTACGACTTCCTTAATCAACTACGGCTTCTATAGCCAACTACGATTGTTAAAGTCTGACCATGATTACTACAAATAATTATAATACAACAATTATATCTCAAATACCGTTAAAAGTAAAATTATTGTGTTATTTCAAAATAGTTATGATTTTAACATCATCTTGATCTTATCTTCCTTAATTCAGGTGAAGAGGGGATATTCGTACTCATGATTACATAGTTGATTATTTAAACTAGATCAAACCCTGTGATTTTTTTCATTTTCATGATTTTTCCAGGTAAAAAAGCTTGATGACTCCTCCCACGACTTTTCTTTTATATGTTTGTCGGATCTTTGTGCAATGATATGACATAAAATTATTACTTTACCGCCATATATTTTCTAGCACATAATAATTTATTGTCGTCTATGGGAGTCATAGTCCCATTACCTGAGTGTAATACTAACAAAAACAGAGCCGCCCACTCTAACACCCACCTAGAGGATGCTCTCGAAATCAGAATAACAGGATTGCTTCGATTTCGTGGATAAACATTACTCTACCGGCGAAGGAGCTTCTTTATCCATAAAAGAACATGTGGTATAATAAAGGAATTTCAAAATGAAATTTTACAACTCTTATGCAAGGCTCGACAATCCAAACTAGTGTCATCTGTTGGAGCTTACTTACAACAAAATTAAACATCGACTAGAGATGCCTGGCTAGAGAATGCTCTTCCAACCTCTGATCCTCGTACTGAAGTATCTCCTCAACTTAGTTAACAAGCTGATCACCTCAATTTCACACACCCAACTCCCTCGTCAGCCTCCAAATCAGCTTTAGCTATCACATCCACCAATGTTATGGTCATACCATCAGATCATGCAATTGATTTAAGAAAAAAAATTGAAAGGCTATATCGATAGAAAATTTGTGTCGATTTACAAAAAAATAATCTAGCTCGTGTGGAAAAAACTCCCACTAAGAAGCAAATCTCTTTCTTCAGCATGACTGCAACCATATTTAAAAAAAAAATAAAAGCAATCTCAACCTACACCTTAGACTTGAGAAATGTAAAATATTTCTAACAACTCATTTTAAGTTTAATCGACCCCAGTGAGCTCAATTTGACATCTTCCACACATTAAAGCTTTCAAGCGAATGCTTTGACTAACAACCTAGAATAAGTAAAAAATTCTTGGTAAATTAAATTCAATTATAGTACACAACTTTAAAATTGGTCAAAACACGCTCCAATCAGCAACTTAGGACAAGTCAAAAATCATTTATGAATTACAATCGACCTTATCCAAAGAAGTTAACGTCGTCGGGTCATGTTCTGACCAATAACCTAGGATATGTATAACATCATTCATGGATTTTCTATGAATTTTCCATACAGGTTAATGCCGATGAGTAATACTCTATAAACAACCTTAAAAGGTCTAACATCTTGATGGGTTTTAGTCAACCTCTTCCTTATGGGTTAATATCGCCAAGTAACACTGTTGACCTCACTTTTGATTGAGGTCTAGA